TATCATCACTGATCACTCCCCAAAACAATCAGTGGTCACTGTTGGCTGGACGGCCCGTGGAGGTGAATACGAAAGAAAAGAAAAGAGAGCAAGAGAGAAGCAGAAGAGGAAAAGGAAAAGACGAGGAAGAAGAGAGAGGGAGGAGAAGAGAGAAGAGAAAGAAAGGGAAGAAAAAAAGCAGAACGGATAAGAGACAGGAACGGAAACTAGAGAAAAAGAGAAAAGAGGAAAAGAACAAGCCGAGCAAAAGAGAAGAAACAGAGAAGAGTAGACAAGACAGAAAAGCAAGAGAGACGAAAAGCAGAAATAAGAGAAGAGACAGAAAAAGAGAAAAGCCACAAGAGAACATCGAATACTCTCTCATTCCCTCCACTCTCTACCCTCTCCTCTCTCCTCTCTCCCCTCTCCCCTCCTCTCTCCCCTCTCCCCTCTCCCCTCTCCTCCCCACTGCCCTAAATTGGTCCCCCCTGGCTTCACAGAATCTCTGACTGTTCTAGGAAGTTCTAGGAAGAGGGGCCCCAGACCTGGGTCAATTTAGGGGGTAGATGAGGGGGTCTAAAACGTGGGGTATTTATTTGAATGGCTATACAGAATAAACTCATTATCTGAGTCCCAAATGGCAACCTATTCACTATTTGGTGGCACCTATTTCCTATGGGCCCTGGTCAAAAGTAGTGCACACTATAGAGAACAGGGTAACATTTGGGACGCGACGATTCTGCAAAAGTTCTAACTGCTGAGCAAAGCAAAGCAGGGTCAAACCATTCCCTCCCACCCTTGCCCCCGATCTTTCTTCAGTTATACAATGTTATAAGGCTTAATTAAGTGAACTCAGCTATGGAATTAGCATACGCTGCGCCAAATACTAATTGACAGATTGTAAAGGTCAAAAAGAGGCGCTTGGCATGTCAACAAACCAGATTATAAATGGGTGGTTAGGTTTGAGTATGAAGGTCAAAGATGGGCGCTTGGCAGGTCAACAAACCAGATTATAAATGGGTGGTTTGGTTTGAGTATAAAGGTCAAAGATGGGCGCTTGGCATGTCAACAAACCAGATTATAAATGGGTGGTTTGGTTTGAGTGTGAAGGTCAAAGATGGGCATTTGGCATGTCAACAAACCAGTTTATAAACAGGGGGTTAGGTTTGAGTATGAAGATCAAATATGGGCGCTTGGCATGTCAACAAACCAGATTATAAATGGGTGTTTAGGTTTGAGTATGAAGGTCAAAGATGGGCGCTTGGCAGGTCAACAAACCAGATTATAAATGGGTGGTTTGGTTTGAGTATGAAGGTCAAAGATGGGCGCTTGGCAGGTCAACAAACCAGATTATATATGGGTGGTTTGGTTTGAGTATGAAGTTCAAAGATGGGCGCTTGGCAGGTCAACAAACCATATTATAAATGGGTGGTTAGGGTTTGAGTATGAAGGTCAAAGATGGGCGCATGGCATGTCAACAAACCAGTTTATAAATGGGTAGTTAGGTTTGAGTATGAAGGTCAAAGATGGGCGCTTGGCAGGTCAACAAACCATATTATAAATGGGTGGTTAGGGTTTGAGTATGAAGGTCAAAGATGGGCGCATGGCATGTCAACAAACCAGATTATAAATGGGTGGTTAGGTTTGAGTATGAAGGTCAAAGATGGGCGCTTGGCATGTCAACAAACCAGATTATAAATGGGTGGTTTGGTTTGAGTATAAAGTTCAAAGATGGGCGCTTGGCATGTCAACAAACCAGATTATAAATGGGTGGTTATGTTTGAGTATGATGGCAAAGATGGGTGCTTGGCATGTCAACAAACCAGATTATAAATGGGTGGTTTGGTTTGAGTATGAAGTTCAAAGATGGGCGCTTGGCAGGTCAACAAACCAGATTATAAATGGGTGGTTAGGTTTGAGTATGAAGGTCAAAGATGGGCGCTTGGCATGTCAACAAACCAGATTATAAATGGGTGGTTTGGTTTGAGTATGAAGTTCAAAGATGGGCGCTTGGCATGTCAACAAACCAGATTATAAATGGGTGGTTAGGTTTGAGTATGAGGGTCAAAAATGGGCGCTTGGCATGTCAACAAACCAGATTATAAATGGGTGGTTTGGTTTGAGTATGAAGTTCAAAGATGGGCGATTGGCATGTCAACAAACCAGATTATAAATGGGTGGTTTGGTTTGAGTATGAAGTTCAAAGATGGGCGCTTGGCAGGTCAACAAACCAGATTATAAATGGGTGGTTAGGTTTGAGTATGAAGGTCAAAGATGGGCGCTTGGCATGTCAACAAACCAGATTATAAATGGGTGGTTTGGTTTGAGTATGAAGTTCAAAGATGGGCGCTTGGCATGTCAACAAACCAGATTATAAATGGGTGGTTAGGTTTGAGTATGAGGGTCAAAAATGGGCGCTTGGCATGTCAACAAACCAGATTATAAATGGGTGGTTTGGTTTGAGTATGAAGTTCAAAGATGGGCGATTGGCATGTCAACAAACCAGATTATAAATGGGTGGTTAGGTTTGAGTATGAAGATCAAATATGGGCGCTTGGCAAGTCAACAAACCAGATTATAAATGGGTGGTTAGGTTTGAGTATGAAGGTCAAAGATGGGCGCTTGGCATGTCAACAAACCAGATTATAAATGGGTGGTTTGGTTTGAGTATGAAGGTCAAAGATGGGCGCTTGGCATGTCAACAAACCAGATTATAAATGGGTGGTTTGGTTTGAGTATGAAGGTCAAAGATGGGCGCTTGGCATGTCAACAAACCAGATTATAAATGGGTGGTTAGGTTTGAGTATGAAGGTCAAAGATGGGTGCTTGGCATGTCAACAAACCAGATTATAAATGGGTGGTTAGGTTTGAGTATGAAGGTCAAAAATGGGCGCTTGGCATATCAACAAACCAGATTATAAATGGGTGGTTTGGTTTGAGTATGATGGCAAAGATGGGCGCTTGGCATGTCAACAAACCAGATTATAAATGGGTGGTTAGGTTTGAGTATGAAGTTCAAAGATGGGCGCTTGGCATGTCAACAAACCAGATTATAAATGGGTGGTTTGGTTTGAGTATGAAGGTCAAAGATGGGCGCTTGGCATGTCAACAAACCAGATTATAAATGGGTGGTTAGGTTTTAGTATGACGTTCAAAGATGGGCGCTTGGCCTGTCAACAAACCAGATTATAAATGGGTGGTTTGGTTTGAGTATGAAGGTCAAAGATGGGCGCTTGGCAGGTCAACAAACCAGATTATAAATGGGTGGTTAGGTTTGGCATGTCAACAAACTGTCTTCCAGGACAAAAGGAGAGCTATAGTATGTATTTGGTGATTGCTGAGGCAAGAGACAATGAAGAGATTTTAAAAAGTCAACTTTTAATACTACCAGAGATAGGTGAACAACGGGTGAAAAATTTACATATTTTTTTGAAATTATTTTTTTCAGATTTTTTTTGTAAAATTCACAGTTTCAGTGATTCATAAAATAAAACTGGCACAGCTACTGTGATTTAAGAACATTCAGTGGGGTTAAAAATACAATAAAAAGAGATGCACAACAATGAACTGTTCAAAGTAAAAACAACATATGTAAGGTCCTTGAATCCAGAGCTCCATGGTGATGTGACAGATTCGTGTATTTCCCGAGCTCCATGGTGATGTGACAGATTGGTGTATTTCCCGAGCTCCATGGTGATGTGACAGATTGGTGTATTTCCAGAACAGATGAGGAAAGACAACTCAACCCATAGGAGAAGAAGTGACAGTCATTATAAGGTTTTGGGATTCACCCTACAGTGGGTATGTTATAGCCTGGGTACCAGACCTGTTCGGGCTATTCTTCCACTCCTTGTCATATGCCAATGTTTGTAGCACAAACAGGTTGGGTATCCACGCTAGGTATGGCGGTGTTTGGTGGTGACAATGAGCTCAGGAGTATGGACACCTAGCTACCTGTATTTAGCTTGTCAATGCACCTCACTGGCCCCCATCAAACAGGTGAAACATACCTACCACTGATCTGTGGCAAAATGCCGCTATTGTGACCATTCTATTTCCTACATAGTGCATTACATTAGACTACGGCCCATAGGGTTCTGCTCAAAAGTAGTGCACTTGGTCTAAAGTAGTGCACTACATTTGGAATAGGGTGCCATTTGGGACACATTCCTAATGTCTGTGGTTGTGGTGATAGCTAAACTTGACCTCTGACCTCTGGCTTTTCCACTTGGCTTCTGTGCCAGCTGTGTGCCAGCCATGTTGGTGCCAGCCATGTTGATGCCAGCCATGTTGGTGCCAGACAAGTTGATGCCAGACATGTTGGTGCCAGCCATGTTGATGCCAGCCATGTTGGTGCCAGCCGTGTTGGTGCCAGCCATGTTGGTGCCAGCCATGTTGGTGCCAGCCATGTTGATGCCAGCCGTGTTGGTGCCAGCCATGTTGATGCCAGCTATGTTGGTGCCAGCCATGTTGATGCCAGCTGTGTTGGTGCCAGCCGTGTTGATGCCAGCCGTGTTGGTGCCAGCCGTGTTGGTGCCAGCCATGTTGGTGCCAGCCATGTTGGTGCCAGCCGTGTTGGTGACAGCCGTGTTGGTGCCAGCCGTGTTGGTGCCAGCCGTGTTGGTGCCAGCCATGTTGGTGCCAGCCATGTTGATGCCAGCCGTGTTGGTGCCAGCCATGTGCCAGCAAAGCCATACAGTATATTAAGGTGCTAACTTGGTGTCCGTTCTAAAAGTTGGCCCAACTCTCTAAATATATGTCTCTGTGTGCCAGCCGTGTTGGTGCCAACCATGTTGGTGTCTGCCATGTTGGTGCCAGCCGTGTTGGTGCCAGCCATGTTGGTGTCTGCCGTCTACTGGGAGGGGAAGCAATACTAATTTGTCTTCAGTTCATCTTCCCTTCAATATGAACACCAATGTAAAACCACATATTCAAACAAAATAGACAACAACACTATGAGCGTGTTTATGTGACATCAGTGATCCTACAGCTTTTACCTCCTACAAAAACAGCTCATTGTTCTACTTCTCTATCGTATCCACGTTGTTGTTGTTGTTGTTGTTGTTGTTGTTGTTGTTGAGGCTGACGTTGAGCCCATTCTCCTTCCTCAGCGCTCGGGGGATGATCTTCTTCTGCACAAATAGTCTCTGGAGGAACTTGTCCGAGAGACTCAGAGGGAAAAAACTATAGATGAAGTACATGAGGCCCACGCCGGGCCCAGCGTAGTACCGGACCAGGGGCTGGGGGGAGAGCAGCGCCTCACTGATGGTGTTGATGACTGGTGACAGGTCCTCGTTAGCCGACTGGGCGAAGCGCTGGAAGAGGTCCTTGGTCTCATGGGTGTAGTCCTCCCCGTACTCCTCCAGCAGGCCTGCGGACAGGTTGTGGATCAGGGTCTTGTACTGACTCTCCCAGTACTCCTGGTTACTGGACTGACCTGGGATCAGGATATATAGAGGGTTGAGTTAGCATTGAGTTACCCTTACACCATATGTTCTCTATCTTAACCCAGTACTCCTGGTTACTGGACTGACCTGGGATCAGGATATATAGAGGGTTGAGTTAGCATTGAGTTTCCCTTACACCATATGTTCTCTATCTTAACCCAGTACTCCTGGTTACTGGACTGACCTGGGATCAGGATATATAGAGGGTTGAGTTAGCATTGAGTTTCCCTTACACCATATGTTCTCTATCTTAACCCAGTTTCCACTCCTCTAGTCCCATCCCATCTATCATCTCTCTGGTGGTTCCACTCCTCTAGTCCCATCCCATCTATCATCTCTCTGGTGGTTCCACTCCTTTAGTCCCCATCCCATCTATCATCTCTCTGATGGTTCCACTCCTCTAGTCCCCATCCCATCTATCATCTCTCTGTTGGTTCCACTCCTCTAGTCCCCATCCCATCTATCATCTCTCTGTTGGTTCCACTCCTCTAGTCCCATCCCATCTATCATCTCTCTGGTGGTTCCACTCCTCTAGTCCCATCCCATCTATCATCTCTCTGGTGGTTCCACTCCTCTAGTCCCATCCCATCTATCATCTCTCTGGTGGTTCCACTCCTCTAGTCCCATCCCATCTATCATCTCTCTGGTGGTTCCACTCCTCTAGTCCCATCCCATCTATCATCTCTCTGGTGGTTCCACTCCTCTAGTCCCATCCCATCTATCATCTCTCTGGTGGTTCCACTCCTCTAGTCCCATCCCATCTATCATCTCTCTGATGGTTCCACTCCTCTAGTCCGCATCCCATCTATCATCTCTCTGGTGGTTCCACTCCTCTAGTCCCATCCCATCTATCATCTCTCTGGTGGTTCCACTCCTCTAGTCCCATCCCATCTATCATCTCTCTGGTGGTTCCACTCCTCTAGTCCCATCCCATCTATCATCTCTCTGGTGGTTCCACTCCTCTAGTCCCATCCCATCTATCATATCTCTGATGGTTCCACTCCTCTAGTCCGCATCCCATCTATCATCTCTCTACACTCTGTCACAACACCCTTTGTTAGTCTGTACTCCTAAGATCACCTTCCACTACAGAGAGACAGCCAAAGGTACAAAGGAAGATACATTTTTGTAGATACTGTAGAGGGCTTGGTGGTGAGCGAGAGGGAAGGTGGACATGGCCTGTTTTGAACTCTGGGGTAGTAAGAGGGCTTGGTGGTGAGCGAGAGGGAAGGTGGACATGGCCTGTTTTGAACTCTGGGGTAGTAAGAGGGCTTGGTGGTGAGCGAGCGGGAAGGTGGACCTGGTTGCATTGTGTCGGATGTGACAACTTTAGCATATTCCCCTGCCCTGAGCACGCCCCCATTCTCATCGACGGGGCTGTAGTGGAACAGGTTCGAGAGCTTCAAGTTCCTTGGTGTCCACATCACCAACAAACTATCATGGTCCAAACATACCAAGACAGTCGTGAAGAGGGCACGACAAAGCCTATTCCCCCTCAGGAGACTGAAAAGATTTGGCATGGGTTCTCAGATCCTCAAAAAGTTCTACAGCTGCACCATCGAGAGCATCCTTACTGGTTGCATCACCGCCTGGTATGGCAACTGCTCAGCCTCCGACCGCAAGGCACTACAGAGGGCAGTGCGTACGGCCCAGTATATCACTGGGGCCAAGCTTCCTGCCATCCAGGACCTCTATACCAGGCGGTGTCAGAGGAAGGCCCTAACAATTGTCAAAGACACCAGCCACCTCAGTTATAGACTGTTCTCTCTGCTACCGCACGGCAAGCGGTACCGGAGCGCCAAGTCTAGGTCCAAAAGGCTTCTTAACAGCTTCTACCCCCAAGCCATAAGACTCCTGAACAGCTAATCATGGCTACCCAGACTATTTGCATTTCCATTCCACCCCACCCCTTTTACGCTGCTGCTACTCTGTTTATTATTTATGCATAGTCACTTTAACTCTACCCACATGTTAACTCTACCCACATGTACATATTACCCCAACTAACCGGTGCCCCCACACATTACATTTACATTTTAGTCATTTAGCAGACGCTCTTATCCAGGAGCAAGTAGGGTTAAGTGCCTTGCTCAAGGGCACATCGACAGATTTGGGGATTAGCACCAGCGACCTTTCGGTTACTGGCACAACGCTCTTAACCACTAAGCTACCTGCCGCCCCAAAGATCTGTACCAGTACCCCCTGTATATAGCCTCCCTACTGTTAATTTATTTTACTGCTGCTCTTTAATTATTTCCAATTTCTATTTTTTACTTATCCATTTTTTACTTAACCCTTTAAAAAAAAAAAAGTAAACTGCATTGTTGGTTAAGGGCTTGTAAGTAAGCATTTCACTGTAAGGTCTACACCTGTTGTATTCGGCGCATGTGGCAAATAACATTTTATTTTATTTGACCCCCATTCATGTCCACTGTGTGTTACACCCAAACGCTTCCTCCTGCTCCCCAGGTTCCCCTCCCCTATCTAGTATGAGGAGGGAAGAATGGTGGATGCCATAAACCTAACCCCAGACCCCTATCCCTGACCCCTAACCTCTGACCTCTAACCTTTAACCCTCACCTGTCTTGTATGAGGATGGCAGTATGGTGGACACGTTGACCGCCCAGGGTTCCAGCTGTAACCCTAACCTTAACCCCTAACCTCTGACCTCTGACCTCTAACCTTTAACCCTCACCTGTCTTGTATGAGGATGGCAGTATGGTGGACACGTTGACCGCCCAGGGTTCCAGCTGTAACCCTAACCTTAACCCCTAACCTCTGACCTCTGACCTCTAACCTTTAACCCTCACCTGTCTTGTATGAGGATGGCAGTATGGTGGACACGTTGACCGCCCAGGGTTCCAGCTGTAACCCTAACCTTAACCCCTAACCTCTGACCTCTAACCTTTAACCCTCACCTGTCTTGTATGAGGATGGCAGTATGGTGGACACTTTCACCCCCCAGGGTTCCAGTTCGTGGCGGAGTGTGTTGATGAACAGGTTGAGAGCTGCCTTGGAGGCTCCGTACGCTGCCAGACAGGGGAACGGCTGCTCTCCTGGAGGGACACACAGAGAGAGAGACACCACAACGTCAGTATACAGTATTATAGGAGATCTAATGAGATCTTTGTTTCAGAGGGCTGAAGGGACTGGGCCGTAACATTCCCCACTACTGTTTATCCTTTTTACACGTGTTAACTATTTCCTCTAGTCATATCTAGTTCTATTATCTTCATTGTATTGCTAGAATGTAACTTCCGCACTTTGCCCTTTGATTAATGTAATTAAGACATGTCAGTAAAGATAAGAAAAGAACACTGGTTCTTCCATATTAAAAGACGTCGGTAAAGATACAAAAAAAATAACCCTTTATTTAACCAGGTAAATGGACTGAGAACACGTTCTCATTTACAGCAACGACCCGGGGAATGGTTACAGGGGAGAGGACGGGGGATGAATGAGCCAATTGGAAGCTGGGAATGATTAGGTGGCCACGATGGTAAGAGGGGCCAGATTGGGAATTTAGTCAGGACAGCGAGGTTAACAGCCCTACTCTTAAAATAAATGTTTTGATAAAGGAACCTTTATCTTGGCAAGAACCTCAAAAACCACAAACACCGGCTGAATCTTTAGTGACCACAGAGAGTCACCCGTTTAACTTCCCATCCGAAAGACGGCACCCTACACAGGGCAATGTCCCCAATCACTGCCCTTAGGCATTGGGATATTTTACACCAGAAGAAAGAGTGACTCCTACTGGCCCTCCAACACCACTTCCAGCAGCATCTGGTCTCCCATCCAGGGACCAACCCTGCTTAGTTTCAGAGGCAAGCCAGCAGTGGGATGCAGGGTGGTATTCTGCTGGCCAGCTTGACACTGGTTCTTCCATATTAAAATATGTGTCAGTTCTTCCTTCAGGCTATGAGAGATATGTTTATACAACATCATGTCACTGCTGTCAGCCCATAAACTCTCCTAACCTGTATGAGACCCCTGATGGCACCCTATTCCCTATGTAGTGCACTACTTTTGACCAGATAGGCCCCTGTACAAAAGTAGTGTACTATATAGGGAATAGGGTGCCATTTGGGATGCAGACTATGTAGCAACACCACAACAATGTTCCGCTCTACTCCAGACGGCGGGAGACAGGAAATGCTAAAGGGCGTGTTAGGAACACAATGCTACACAGTATGAAAAAATGTACGCTCTCACTAACTGTAAGTCGCTCTGGGATGAGAGCGTCAGCTAAATGACTAAAACGTAATTGCAGATCGAGACTGTCTCTACGTTTGTGGTTTCCCTCTGGGCCTCGTGGAGAGAAATGCTTTAGTGTTAAGAGGAGCGTTCCCTGTGACTCAACGACTGACAGGATGGCAGTGTAAAGGCTGAAATAGGGCCACCTTCCAAACACCATCCTATTCCCTACTTAGTACACTCGGGTCAAAAGTAGCGCACTGCAGAGGGAACAGGGTACCATTTGGGATATCCCTTAGGACAATAGGCCCCACCTGTATCTGTGTGAAGTGGGCCTCATCCGGCTCTATGCATCCAGCCTGAGCCTGACAGCTTGACTAGTATAAACACCGTGTTCCGTCTGAATGTGTCTCTGTGACGCTAGGTGAAGCATGTCGTATTGCCTGCGTTCACAGCACAGGGGGGGGGGAGATGAAGTCACAGAGCAATATGAAGCAGCCTGAAATCATGTGCAGATGATGGCTCTTTCATGTTTCTACTGTTGTGTAGTTGTACAGCGTCTGAAATCCTTCAATGTATTAAAATGCACCTTCCATAGTAGTTTGCTTCATCCAAATGTTACATGAGAAATCATTTCAAAAATAGCTCCACCAAACTGGGTGCTTTATGGGGTTTCCACTGAGAGTCAGTGGTTGCTATAGGGATGATAGTATTGAGACAGCTCTGATTGGTTGCTGTAGGGATGATAGTATTGAGACAGCTCTGATTGGTTGCTGTAGGGATGATAGTATTGAGACAGCTCTGATTGGTTGCTGTAGGGATGATAGTATTTAAACAGCTCTGATTGGTTGCTGTAGGGATGATAGTATTGAGACAGCTCTGATTGGTTGCTGTAGGGATGATAGTATTGAGACAGCTCTGATTGGTTGCTGTAGGGATGATAGTATTTAAACAGCTCTGATTGGTTGCTGTAGGGATGATAGTATTGAGACTGCTCTGATTGGTTGCTATGTGGATGATAGTATTGAGACTGCTCTGATTGGTTGCTATAGGGATGATAGTATTGAGACTGCTCTGATTGGTTGCTATAGGATGATAGTATTGAGACAGCTCTGATTGGTTGCTATAGGGATGATAGTATTGAGACAGCTCTGATTGGTTGCTATAGGGATGATAGTATTGAGACAGCTCTGATTGGTTGATATAGGGATGATAGTATTGAGACAGCTCTGATTGGTTGCTATAGGGATGATAGTATTGAGACAGCTCTGATTGGTTGCTGTAGGGAAGATAGTATTGAGACAGCTCTGATTGGTTGCTATAGGGATGATAGTATTGAGACAGCTCTGATTGGTTGCTATAGGGATGATAGTATTTAGACAGCTCTGATTGCTGGCATCACAGGACTTTTTGGGTGATGTCATGTAGCAGTTGGGTTGGGAAATGTTTTGATAAAGGAACCTTTATCTTGGCAAGATCCTCAAAAACCACAAACCAAAGACAACGGCTGAATTCCAAATGGCACCCTATTCCCTAAACAGTGCACTACTTTTGACCAGAGCCCTATGGAGGGAATAGGGTGTAGGGCAGGGTTCTCCAACCCTGTTCCTGGCGAGCTACCATCCTGTAGGTTTTCGTTTCAACCCCAGTTGTTACTGACCTGATTCAGCTTCTTAACCAGCTAATTATTAGAATCAGGTGCTCTAGATTAGGGTTGGAACGAAACCCTGCAGGACAGTATCTCTCCAGGGATAAGGCTGCCATTTAGGACTAATAGACTGACATGCAGAATGTTATGTACAGACTCATCCGCCATGACATCCGTTATGACAGGGTAGTAATCACTTTAACCATATGCTATGAAACAACAACAAGGTTTTGATTGCAGGCATTGATTGTAACATAATGTGTGTTTTATATCAAAGCCAGACAGGTATAAACCCTGAACGTTGTGTTCGTATCAAAGCCAGACAGATTTAACCCTGAACGTTGTGTTGAGACAATGTGGGAGGTGTGTGTATGAGTATGTGGTGAGTTGTCTTTCTGAGTGTGTGTGTGTGTGTGTGTGCGTGTGTGTGCGTGGGTGTGTGTGCGTGTGTGTGTGCGTGCGTGTGTGCGTGCGTGTGTGCGTATGTATGTGTGTGTGCGTGGGTGTGCGTGCGTGTGTGGGTGCGTGTGTGTGTGTGTGTGTGTGTGTGTGCGTGTGTGTGTGTGCATGTGTGTGCGTGCGTGCGTGTGATCCACCCACCTGCAGGGCTGGAGATAGTGACGATACGTCCCTTGGCCTGACGCAGCAGAGGCAGGAATGTCTTGGTGACATTCAGAGTCCCAAAGAAGTTCACCTCCATACATCCACGGTAGTTAGACATCAGAGAAAGCTCTGCATCCCCGAAGTTAACACACACTCCTGCATTATTCACCAAGCCCCACAGACCTAGAGAGAGAGAGAGAGAGAGAGAGAGAGAGAGAGAGAGAGAGAGAGAGAGAGAGAGAGAGAGAGAGAGAGAGAGAGAGAGAGAGAAGGGTGAGACAGGGATGCACCTTGAGCCCCACCCTCTTCAACACTTATATCAACAAATTGGCAAGGGCACTAGAACAGTCTGCAGCACCCGACCTCACCCTACTAGAATCTGAAGTCTTGTATTTATAGTATTTGGCCCTAAACAGAGAGTACACAGTGGCAGAATACCTGACCACTGTGACTGACCCAAACTTAAGGAAAGCTTTGACTATGTACAGACTCAGTGAGCATAGCCTTGCTATTGAGAAAGGCCGCCGTAGGCAGACCTGGCTCTCAAGAGAAGACAGGCTATGTGCACACTGCCCACAAAATGAGGTGGAAACTGAGCTGCACTTCCTAACCTCCTGCCAAATGTA